TATTGACACTAAGTTTTCTGGTTAGACTTTAGCCTAAAAAACATGCGTGCTGATGACAATTTTGGCAGTCATATCTGAATGACTCAAAAACTGGTCATATTTCTTCTTTAACTTTTGGTATACTTAAATTTGGGCATTATTTATAGAAAGATATAATAAAATGAGCTAAAGCTTTAAAACATATTTTTAAATATGTTGATGCACCCTAAATTGAATTTGAAGCACCAGGGATAAATAAATAAAAATAGCTATAATGCATGATTTTATTGTAACTAGTGAACTGATAAATATTGTAAGGGCGTTGTTTTAAGATATAAATAATGTATCTTAATATTTTTCGCTTATATAATTTGATTTTCAAATACAAAGCATTAATACTTATCTAAGCATTAAAACAATCAACCATTTGTGGTTATATTGAAATTTGTAAAAGACGCATTCTTTTTGAATATATGTTTAAAAACTAATAAGTTAAGTAAAACAGTCCAGTAGGTTTTGCTGCATTGAAAAAATCATTTTAGTAACACTTTTTCAACAAGCAATTGTTATACTTTTAGTGATTTGTAGAGCGTCGAATCATAATGTTATTGTACTGTTTTAAATTGTAGATTTTATTCATTCATGAAAAACATTTATTACAATTTTATAATAAAATGTATAAAACACTGAGTTCGAGATTCAAATCACAAATCCACCTAAGCTAGAAAACTGCAAATCCGAATATTTTTGTTTATAAAATATTCACTTTCCATTCAATAAATAATCCAGTCATCTAGTTTTCGATTTGGGGAAATTCATTCTCCTTTTCCCATAAATACAGATTGCCGTATTATTTAAAAATCAAACCAAACAGCATGTAATCAAAGAACGCTTGTATCCGCCATATGTAATATTGTCACGTGACATTGTTATGTTTTGTTTCGCTTGGGAAGCGTTTATTATACACAATAGAACTCCAGGGTAGTAAGCCATAACTATGAACAATACCATGTCCCAAATAAATAATCTAATTTGTAAATCTGCAATTGGTCACATGATGGTCCGAACATTATTTGTATGGCTATATTTGTTGACAGCAAAAACAGCTAATAATTATCTTGGATAAAATACCTCGTTTAGTAAACGAGGCAATTTTACCCAGCCTCTTTCTAAACAAAATACCTCGTTCCAAAAACAGGGCAATTTAAAAAATCACGTTTTGGAACTCCAGACAAACGAGGTATTTTTTTTACCTCGTTACAACGCGGCAAAATCGGGGCAAAAACTTTGACACGTTTTTGCCTCGTTTGGACAGAAATAATTGGATTTATCATTTAATGACGCCGATCATGTCTTAGATTAATCCAGATCTCTGAACTTGTGGATCCGCCTGGTTAATTCTTCGGATTCAATATGGCCACCATTACAAGTCAACAACATACGTCACGTATAGACGCGGGTGTTACGTATTCCTGTTACAGCCCTTTGTCAATATAGTTCATTCATTATGACGAAATCCAATTTCGTAGAACTATTTGTTTGGAACATGAATCTTGAAATTGGATACTTGCCACCCTCTTTTAGCCGGATTTTATTTCACGGATTCCAAAGAATCCATATCACCAGTCAAGTTCATGTAATCCGGTTTCTGAGTTAAACCTCTTCCATTTAGGTAAACATATTGAATTGTGTGGGTCTGAAGAGTTAGTTCGATTAGTCATGGCTCATGTTCTATACGATTAAAGTTTTATTTAAGCGGAATTAATAATGTTAGGGAGCCGAGGTGATTCGGTGAGTAAGGTACTCACTCATGCTATCCAGGAGAGAGAGAGACAGAGAGAGAGAGGGAGAGAGAGAGAGAGAGAGAGAGGTGGGGTTTAACGTCTATCGACACAAACTAGGTAATTTCGGGACTAACACATGGTTTTAATTTTATTTCAATAATTCGCTTGTGCGTTGGGGTCTTTAGCAGTGGGAGGAAACCGGAGGACCCGGAGAAAACCCACGAGGTTGGACAGGCGACTCTACTCCTTGTCACGTACACCCGGGGAATCGAAACCACGCCATTTGACTCAATGACAGACCTTATGATACAGTGCGCACGCGCTACCCCCCCCCCCCCCCCAGGAGGTTCGGTCCCGGTTTTGGTCGAGATAATTCGCCATTGTGTACACGGGACCTCAGTTTATCGCCCCATACGAAGGACTATACGTTGTCTCTGCCCTGCACCACTGACAAGGGGGAACAACAACGGGGATCGAAAATGGGACTTCAACGTTTCAATAACCCTCCAGAGTTACGCCCCTTTGTTACTAAATCCAAAGCCCCCAAAACCCACACCGCCAACCGAAATACACACACGTCCTCGTCCCCACCGTGCTACGTCGCTGATTACAGTCGTTAAATCCTGATATGACAAGTTAGTGTTGAGTGGACGATAACACCCCCTCCCCCTTTCTCTTTCTCTCTGTCTGTCTCCCTGTCCCTATGTATAAGTTTGTTCAAAAACAGTTCCAAAATATTGAATGAATTTAAATATCCAGTAAATTGGTGACATTTTAGAATGTGAGGGGCAGTTTTATTCAAGTTGACATAAAGTTCATGTCATATTATGATTGTTATTGATTTTGTTATTATTACTTGATTGTGAACCTTAGGAGCGCTTACTTGGTCTCATGTCCGCGTCTGTGAGCTAATGTAGACGGGCATACGCCTCGAAGTGTGCTATGGTGGAAACTTTGCGGGTCTCTTTGTATTTCGTTTTCCAGATCTCTATTAGGCTAGTAGGGCGAGTGTCCCCGACCCCAAGAGGGACATACGCCTCGCAGTGTGTTATGGTGGAAACTTTCCAAGCCTCTTTAATTTCATTTTCCAGATCTCTCTTTCATATAGATAACAATTTATTAGGCTAGTAGGGAGAGTGTCCCCCCCCCCCCCCAAGCCCCACTCCCCCTCCCCTCTCTCTCTAACCCGTATCTGAATAAACTCCAATGACCTAGATGAATAGAAACCGTGTTTAATAGAGCTATTATATAAGGCATTACGTCGTTAATATAACCCATTAAAACCAGTTGATTCCCTAAGCCAACTTTTCACCGTTTAATAATAATAGTGCCGGTAAGCGACTAACTTCACTTGGTTGAAGACAAATCGTGCTTGGATTGATCAATGAAAGCTTGGAGGGCTGGTAAGGCACTTGTTTTACATATAGGCCTGGTTTCGATGTTGGTTCTGCCAGTTGAGTTTATCGTCTTTATCGATTTCTCTAATGCTGTTATTCAATACCTAATATACTTTTATTCTCTATCTCAAACCATTGACGGATGGAAATGAAATGAAATGGGGTTTAACGTCCTACTGTTCTGCTCCGAACTGGGCTAATGAAGACGGGCATACCCATACAGTGTGCTATGAGGGAAATTTTGCCCGGACAGCGGCACTACTCTTATATCGAATTCCAACCGTCAAGGGATCTTTTACCTGCACGCCAATGTGTGCATGGGACCTCGTTGTTTCGTCCCATCCGAACGACTAGCCAGCTGTCCTTGTCAGGCCCTCCATCCTGCATCACTGACAAGGGGGACCCACGCCGGAAAATCTGGATGAACTTTCTCGGCCAATTCAGGGATCGAACACCCGACCTTCAGGCTAGCGAGCCAGCGTCTTACCCACTTAGCCACTGTGACACCCCATTGACGGATGGAATCAATTATCTTTTCTTGACACAAAAGAATCATTGTGACTAAGTGCTCAGTGAATGTGGTGCTAGTCGGATTTTGGTCGGGGAAAGCAAAAGCCTCTAGTCGTTCGGGTGGGACCAAAAATCAAGATCCCGTGTAGATGTTGGTGTGCACGTTAAAGAAACCTTGACAGGTCTAATTTGATCGATAAAGAGTAAACGGAACGCCGTACATAGGGGGCCAATTTCAGTTGGTTTCTGAGGCTATTTGCCAAAATATTTTATTTGTCACCCAAATTTTCAACCTGTGCCTGAAAAACGTAAATACATTGCTCGAAAAATGGACGGCTCCTACGGATGCTATAATGTAAACAGTTTTATACGAAGAATAATAGATTACCGTGACAATGGATTATAAATAATATAGAATAACAATTGGCTATTAAATATATAAAACAGAACATTTCTTACGTCTTCCTGGTACAGATTTAGACATATAAGGATGAAATGAAATATATAACACAAAGCGTTAGCGTTCACATACCAAAACTCCACTAAGCTACATGCCAAAAATTTTAAATTATCCCCTTGGCCGGTGGGCAGTGGGGCGGGATGGCCGAATGGTTAGCACGTGCGCGCTGTATCATACGGTTTGTCATTGAGTCAACTGGCGAGGTTTCGATTCCTCGGTTGTACGTGACAAGAAGTAGGGTCGCCTGTCCAACGTCGTGGGTTTTCTCCACGACCTCCGATTTTCTCCCACTGCTAAAGACCCCTACGCGCAGGCGAATTATTGAAATAAAAATTGAACCATATGTTAGTCCAGAAATGACCTAGTTTGTGTCGAGTGGACGTTACCCCCCCCCCCTCTCTCTCTCTCTATCTCCCGGAGAGGGGGGGGGGACAAACACTCAAGAACCCCTCGACCCTTCAGAATACGGTGCTGGCTCGATAACAGGTTTGCTATCGTTGTTGTGGATCACAAGGTCTGTCATTGAATCAACTGGTGTGGTTGTACGTGACACAAGGAGTAGGGTCGCCTGTCAAACCTTGTGGGTTTTCTCCGGTTTCCTCCCACTGCTAAAGACCCATACGCGCAAGCGAAATATTAAAATAAAATTGAACCATATTATATTAGTCCCGAAATGACCTAGTTTGTGTCGAGTGGACGTTAAACCCCATCTCTCTCTCTCTCTCTCTCTCTCTCTCCCCCTCTCTCCAAGGCAGCGAGATATTGCCCACTCTTATTCGAATTCCTCCCGGAGCAAATCGATTAATTGCTAAACCCCATTTCATTTCTAAGAATTCCAACAGCCGGATGCGCTTTTACATACACTGCCAACTTGTCCGATGACGCATACAAGAATTCCTGGCAGTTGGAATGACCGAATTGTGGTGTTGACGAGGCGTAAAACTCCCCTTTCCTGTTTCAGTACAGAGCGTAATTGTATAACGCCGTGCGCGATTGGAATACGTCCAAAACGTACAAAGAAGTTGTTATGATGAGCCGTCAAATCGCAGGTATGACATACTGCTTCACTTAGTCTGTTTTGCCATTGATTGAGATATGTGTGTGTCTGTGTGTTAGAGTCACTGAAAGAACGATAGTTCACTTATAGAGATGGAATGGTAATACAAGGCTGTGTGTACCAGTTAACAGACAGGATGTTATAACGTGTTTTCACGTACGAAACTATCGCTTGAAAACTAAATAATAGCTGTCTTTTCTACTCGGTGTGGTTATGTTGTTCATATTGGTGTCAGCTTTCAGCATAATACGGTTATAATAATGATAATGTTTTTTTTGGGGGGATTCTCTCTGTGTTTTAAGTTTTTATCTCGATCCAAATTTATTAATGGAAGATTCGGATAAGAATGGAGTTAATACCGACAAATCTTGTAAATGTTTTTCTTTCTTGAGGAAATAAAAAAGAAATGTTGAAAGAATCAAAGCTTGCGAGATCAATCATATCGATGTTGAGGAGGATGACGTAATTAAAAAATAACAACAGGAATGACGTGTCTCTACAGGTGATGTAAACGGAATAAACCATGGTTTAAAAACAGTTTCTGAATCTGTAGCAATTTTTGAGAGACTAACACTAAGCCTATGTTATTTCCTATAGTTTTTCAGAAAACAGACCCGTTAAAAAGTTTCCTAATTTAAATTTGAAAACTGTTAAGTTTAATCACAGTGGGAAAATACTAAATTTTAAGTGGTTTCTTGAAGTGCACGGGCCTTTTATTCCCTTTTTCTTGTGCTTGGAGTTACACGGATTTATACTCAAAAATCGTTGATATTCCCAGAATTAAGTGTGAACGAAATATACTTTTTTTTCGTATTAAAGTGACCGACTCATGATCGTTATATTCAAGTATTTGGCCTCATTCGCCGGAAGTAGAACCTTTCTGATCATTCGTGATATAAATATAATGATGAATTATGACATGCAGAGTGGATGATTGCATCGAAGTGTCTTCGCTTAAGAATCGATTGTTTTTGTAAAATGTGTGAAAACACTAAGTACTTGAAAAGCTTGGCTTATATAAGCGGGGCCCGATTTTTGTTGCTATGGACACCGTGCACCATTGTTTGGATGTTTTAAAATGGATTTAATAGTAAATGGCATTTTATTGACGTGTCTTTTGCATGGAAATTTTTAACATAGTGCTAACGTTTGTGGTATCCGACAGCGGTTCCTGTGGTGAATAAAATATAAGTTTTGTAATTCAGGTAAGAATTAGGCTATTATTTTTATTGAACACTCAGCACCTTGTCACATGCAAACGTGGAATTAAAGTCACGGCACTTATATCGATGGTTTTTAAAAGGAATATGGCTCATAGAGCATAATGCCACAAGACCACAGCGATGGTTTGGGACCTGGCCGGTATGAGCAGCTAAAGATTGCTGCGCGGTCCAAAATCACCACACGCCCATTTGTCATAATTCATTCGCGATATTACTCCAGGTGGAAGCGGGCGTTAAGCCCGACACGACGAATGAAAATGCCATAATGCAGCCCAATTGTTTTGATATGAAACAAAACGTATGTTGGCACGCTGGCCTGGAAGTCGGGTGTTCAATCCGTACATTGGCCCAGAAAGTTCATCCAGATTCTCTGGCGTGGTTCCCCCTTGTCAATGATGCAGGACAAGATCGGGCTGACAAGGGCAGCTGTCTAGTCGTTCGGATGGGACGAAAAACCGAGGTCCCGCGTGTACACTGGCTTGCATGTAAAATATCCCTTGGCAGTTGGAATTCGATATAAGCGTAGGCCGTAGTGCCGCTATCCGGGCAAAATTTCCCTCATTGCAAGCTGTATGGCATATGCCCGTCTTCACTATCCAAGTTCTGAGCAGAACAGTAGGACGTTAAACCCCATTTCATTTCATTTCCATCTGTGAACTCCTTAAATGAGAAGTCTATAATAATCAAGAGGAAATGAAATGACATGGGGTTTTATGGCACGTCAACTCCAACTGGGCTATATTGCTCCAAACATCTGGTGATAATCAAAATGACCCAATGCCCAACCCCTCCTCTAATACTACGCCACTACTGGGCGAAAGAGCGTTTCGGCCACAGAAAGGAAATGACTGGGCTGATCAAGACCATATTCATGAAGCAATATTCCTGCTGGATTGACTTATGATACTTGTGCTTTTGTGGGAATGTATCTATTCTTCCCGTTCAATCAAATCTTTCAAAAAAGCACAGCAACATGACAACCCTTCGTTTAATCAGGGGCCTTCCCTAAAACTTTGGACAGCGATATAAGGTATTAAAAACGGTGAAAGTACATTATTCTTTTCCAAACAGTATTGTTTACATTGTCACGCAATTAGTTTTTCTGCAATATTTTACTATGCACTGGTTAATCGTGCGTAAATATTTCGTGAGTCATGACGTAATATGTAAACAATGCGGAGCTCTGTTTAAACCCAAATGACACCATTACGCGATATCACCTCGGTGGAAGCGGACGTAAAATACAACTAACCCATCATTACGCAATTAGGCATTGGTTGTTAATCGGACTACTGACCAGTCATAATTTTGAAAAGAAATTTGCTTTCGTTACAACAGTGCTTGAGTGGGGTTAGGTCTAATCAAACGAAACACTGCGAGGAGTATGATCAAGACCGGCAAACACCATACCGTGCCATAAGGAGAATTTTGCTCGGACAGTGGCACTACGTCCTACTCTTATGTCGAATTCCAATCGTCAAGGGTTCTTTTACGTGTACGCCAACGTGTACACGGAACCTCGGTTTCTCGTCCCATCCGACTGGATGAAAGGACGTTTCGACCCAAGAGGATAAATAGATGCTAAATGAGCGTCTGTATTTGATCGAGACTAAACTTTATACAAGTCTGTATAAAAAAAATGGGGGTCAATCATTCGGATCGATATTTATAGTCGAACATAACACACTAGATCCGTTTATACTACATTAATGATTTCTTTTGAAAGGAGAGAAACATTGCCAGGGGCGATAATCCATTGTGTATTTAGATGGTTGGACTATTGAACAGTTTCTAAATGAATTATGATTAATCCTGCACTCCCATCAATATAATCTAGTAATGAATCTATTGATGGGGATCTGGACTAGTTTATTTATTGTACGGGCTGACAATAGTCGAGATAAATTATATACCATTATGATCTGGCTTTGTAAATACTCGTCACAAAGACAGAGAAAAGGGGTTTGAACGTCCCCTCGATGCAAACTAGGTTATTTTGGGACTGACGTGGTCCAGTTTTATCTCAATCAGGTTGTCTTTAGTAACGTGTATGTGGGGGGGGGGGGGGCACGAGGTTGAACCCTACCTGTTGTCGAGTACCAGATTGTCCGGCGTGGTTTCCCCTTGTCAGTGATGCAGGGCGGATGGCCTGACAAGGACAGCTGTCTAGTCGTTCGGGGGAGGGGGGGGGGTGGATGGCTGAATGGTTAGCGCGCGCTGTATCATAAAGTCTGTCATTGAGTCGACTGGAGTGGTTTCGAATCCCCGGTTGTACGTGGCAAGGAGTAGGGTCGCCTGTCCAACCTGGTGGGTTTTCTTCGGGTCCTCCGGTTTCCTCCCACTGCTAAAGACCCCTACGCGCAAGCGAATTATTGAAATAAAATTAAACCATATGTTAGTCCCGAAATGGCGTATGTCCGTCTTCATTAGCCCAGTTTAGAAGCAGAACAGTAGGACGTTAAACCCCATTTCATTTCATTTCTTGTCGCGTACTCGGAATCATTAGCACATTAGTTGACCCAATGGTAGATCTAATGATCTAATGCGCACGCGTTAAACCACTCGCCACCTTCTCCGACCAAATACACTTCAAGAGCGGTGTCGTGTGATCACGCGCCTTGAGGACGTGGGGTGAGTGGGGCTATCCATCAACCTACCCTTCTGACATTAACAATTCAAAAATTAAAGATACATTATGGGAGATTCGATAAAGAGTTGGCATTCTCACTATAATAGTTAAAAACTAGATAATGTAAAGGCGATTTGCTGAAAATTTCATTCAAATTGATCCACTATGAACCTAGAACTAAGCGATTGAATTTCCGCCTAGCATTGATCATCTCGATTATCCATTTAATCGTTAAATCGTGAAGGAAAGTTATGCAGTAAATCGGCTCACAATCCACTAAAGATCGCAGTCTAGCGATGCCATCTAGAGTTGGTTATGGTCTGGATAGGTTAATTAATATTTAATTAATAATTTAGATAACATTTCAGGCCTAAAGAAAGACCTGCAATAGATATATTTAGCTCATGCATAATGTATGTTTAATATTTAGCCTATGTGCCTTTCATGCGGGTTTTACCGTATTCAAGCTCCGTGACCTAACTGTGATTGGCCGCCTTGGGCGAATTCCGGCTATGTCCTTTTCACTCTCGGTTTGCCCTATCCAAGCTCCGTGAACCAATTAGTTCCCTTTCTGATCGATGGCAATTATTTCTGGTGATCGACCAGGACTTACTACCGTATTTCGTGAGTAAGGTGTACCGAGTTCGATCCATCCTGCGTTTCTCTTGTCAGTGGTTTTACTATCCAATGGTGGTCGTCTTGCACGAGCCCGGATTATGGGTACTATATCTAGACCATCCAGTGCCACTTTCCATTTGACCATTTCTATTCTTTCATATCAACAACAAATTATTGGGTTGGTAAAACGAGGGGCCTTTTCCTGTCGAAAGTAGTAGAATTATTAGAATAAACATATATACCATGTAATAGTGATGGGTGGACCCCATCTCTCTCTCTCTCTCTCTCTCTCTCTCGCGGGCGCGGGATTGTGGAAAGTCATTGAGCATTATAGTGGTGACAAGGAGTAGGGTCGCTTTTCCAACCTTGTGGGTTTTCTCCGGTTTCCTCCCACTGCTAATGCTAAAGACCCATACGCGCAAGCGAAATATAAAATTCATATATTAGTCCCGAGTAGACGTTACCGCCCCCATCTCTCTCTCTCTCTCGCGCGCGATTGTGGAAAGTCATTGAGCACTACAGTGGTATATGTTTATGTCTGCCTTTAATATAGGAACTTATTGTCTCTTCTGGGAAACAGTAGGAGGTTAAACACCATTTATTTTCATTTCATTTCTCTTCTGGGAAAATTAACCATAAAAGTATAACCACAATAGCTACAAATTACCCAATTTGTGCCGTTTAATACGAGAAATATCAGTCCACTCATTGCCAATCTGAATAGATTTTACCATACCATTATCTTTATAGCCGTGCTGATCAAACACTATTATGGCTTCATTTAGCATTAAATAACGTTTATAAAAAATCAGATGCTATGAATGATTATAAATGATTGTAAATGGAAGCCAATATATGTGTAACTCAAATTACCCCTATTCCATTTAGATAGTCATGACTTTAAGACAGTGGTTCTCAACCGTATTGCCAAAGGCACGCTTTGGAACATATGAATAAATAGCGGCACACCTGGCTAAATAAAGAAACACACAGCTATGAACTTATCAGTAGACATGGCGTATGTCCGTTTCATTTCATACCGGATACCAAATTATGCTGTCACGTAACAATGAAATAAACATAGCAATGCAATAAGATTGTCTACAAAACATTTAAACATACATTGTGCAAGATCTAAATCTGCCTATTGTAGGTCTTTCTTTAGGCCTGAAATGTTATCTAAATCATTTATTAGACATTAATTAACTTATCAAGACCATAATCAACTCTCGATGCCATCGCTAGCCTGCGATTTAAAGAATATTTAAAGATGGGTTCCCAGAAAATTATTTATCGGGTGGTTATTTCCAATAAAAGTATGGTAATATTCGTATATATGGAAAGTAGAGATATCCATTCTTACTAGAAAAATACTGGATTGCCCGAAAAACACTCATGGAGCGTATACAGGACAAAAATGCAAGGGTTCCCCTAATCAACAGCCCGACGATTAGGAATTTCTGCACGCGTGATGCCAAAGGTCACACGCGAACATTGAGCGCTTGATGTACAAGTTGATAAACTTTATGAAGAGTTAGACGTACAACACTTTCTGAGATAAAGATGACGGAAAAGACGCGGGTAGTGGATAATCCGAAAATTTAATTAGGATTCGATATTTGTAATAAATAGTAAGCGATTAAAGACAACATCGTTTTATGTATGCAATGAATTCTCCTCTGACTTCCAATAGAGGTAAGTCACGTGACGTAAACATGACCTGGTTTGATGGATT